AAGATATAAATGTTGTTCATCACCGGGAAATTCTTGAATTTAATCTTGAATTTCTTGGATTTGACCTTGATGTTTTCTTTGCCTCCTTTTGCAATTAATTATCCACCCCTAATTATTTTTTGAGACTTGGTATTTATAACCCTCTAAAGACTTGGTTATAAAAATTTCGTAAATTTTCATTTCAACCATTTTCTTCATTATTTCTTCCATTTTGGTCCTCCAAACCTTACTCAAATGCATATTAGTGCTTCGACTTTTACTCAAATGCATATTAGTCCCTAAACCTCCATCCATTTGCCAATTGATCATTCTTTCTTTTCCAATTGTTTAGAAACGGGTCTAAAACTGAAATGAGATAAAACTCACCCAAGTTAATTAAAATCCAATACTAAAACGACACAANAATGACAAACGTACTAGGATCCCGAATTCTCATGCAATAATCAGTTTTAACTCTAGTTTTACACATTGACAACACAAATGAATTTTGACAGATCAATGTTCATATTTTATTTAACAATATCTCTCGAGTAATGTTAAACTTACTTTTATATATGACCCAACTATATTTCTATGATGGATGCGAACATATAAAAGTGCATAAATTTTTATAAACACTTAGAGATTCAAATAAGGCATAGCGGTATATTTATATCCCTTATCGGACCCTATAATAATTTATATATATCGAACATATTTTTCTTTTTTCGAATGCATAAAATAAGTTACCACATTCACACAACTACCGTACACAATAGTTGTGGAGAAAATAAAATCATATAAATCATTCAATATCAAAAACGCGTTTTTAATGTCAAATATATAAAATTAAAAACTTATATTATATGGTTCATCGTTCTCCTAACACAAAGAAATTTAGTCTAAAATGTTGTAAAGAATAAAGTAAAAGATATAAATGTTGTTCATCACTGGGAAATTCTTGAATTTAATCTTGAATTTCTTGGATTTGATCTTGATGTTTTCTTTGCCTCCTTTTGCAATTAATTATCCACCCCTAATTATTTTTTGAGACTTGGTATTTATATCCCTCTAAAGACTTGGTTATAAAAATTTCGTAAATTTTCATTTCAACCATTTTTTTCATTATTTCTTCCATTTTGGTCCTCCAAACCTTACTCAAATGCATATCAGTGCTTCGACCTTTACTCAAATGCATATTAGTCCCCAAACCTCCATCCATTTGCCAATTGATCATTCTTTCTTTTCCAATTGTTTAGAAACGGGTCTAAAACTGAAATGAGATAAAACTCACCCAAGTTAATTAAAATCCAATACTAAAACGACACAA